TGCTACTAGTAGCGTCCTTGCTCCTAGTAGCGATGCCCTTTGCTACTGGTAGCGTCCTTGTTACTAGTAGCGATTCCCTTTGCTACTAGTAGCGTCCTTGCTCCTAGTAGCGATGCGCTTTGCTACGAGTAGCGTCCTTGCTCCTAGTAGCGATGCCCTTTGCTACTAGTAGCGTCCTTGTTACTAGCATCTTTTCTTTTTGGTCCTTGAAACTGGGCAGGTCACGGAGCACCATGGCGCGCGAAGCAGCTGATTGGACGGGCCGTCTCGCGGTCGGGGTGGAGGGGTGGGGCCGAGCGTGGATGCTAGGCACAGAAGGCATTGGAGCTGCTAGGTTTAATGAATACGGATATTATTTATATTATAGTAAACTGCATTATGATATATATTATATATATGATAATAGTGTTAGCTGTTTACTATATATAAGAAATATAACATGAAACATAGGGTTCACCGAATGACATCTAGAATTAATACTTTCGTCAGGTGGTAATGTTTGGAACCCGTGTGTTGCTTTAATTTTGAATATAAACTGATCTGGAGTTGTTGTCAAAAGTTTGTGTTGAATTGTTTTTTCAGGGGCCTTGATGCCAGAATTGCTTTCTGAGATGACTTTTTCCAATGGCTGAAATTTCAGAGTTGATTGCTGAGTTCACAGTGTTAGCCCGAGTACCCATTAAAAACCACTCCCCACTTAAAAAACACCATGTTCGGAACCCTAAATACGGTTTATGATTGTTTTTAAACTACCGCCCTTTAAAACCGCTACTAAACTACCAAAAAAGAGTTTAACAAAGGATTTTTCCCCAAACAGTTTGCTGTTAGGGGTTCTCAATGCTTTAAAGAATGGTCGCCTTGGTGCTGGATGGTCTGGTCGGGTTCCCGGCCGGCTTGTCTCCCACTTCCTTTCATTTGTCTCCCCGTTCTTTTCATTTGTCTCCCAGACTGGGTGCTTCTAATCGGGTTCCCGGCTCATTTTTCTCCCAGGCTGGGTGTTTGTCGTCGGGTTCCCAGCTGGCTTGTCTCCCACTTCCTTCATTTGTCTCCCACTTCTTTTCGTTTGTCTCCCGGGCTGGGAAAGCCACCCAGGAACCCGACTACAAGCATTCAGCCTGGGAGACAAATGAAAAGAACTGGGAGACAAGTGAAAAGAAATGGGAGACAAATGGAAGGAAGTGGGAGACAAGCCATGGGGTTCCCGGCCGGCTTGTCTCCCACTTCCTTTCATTTGTCCCCCACTTCTTTTCATTGGGTCCCAGGCTGGGTGCTTGTGGTCGGGTTCCCGGCTGGCTTGTCTCCCACTTCCTTGCATTTGTTTCCCATTTCCTCTTATTTGTCTCCCAATTCCTTTCATTTGTCTCCCAGGCTGGGTGCTTGTAGTCGGGTTTCCGGCCGGCTTGTCTTCGTCTCCCACTTTTCCCCAAGCAGTTTACTGTTAGGGGTTTTCAATTCTTTCGTAAGATGTGTCCGCCCTTTGTGTTATTGCTGGTGTCCGCCCATTTCCACTGGCCATGTAGCATTTCTATTCATGTATCTCCCAGGTCTGTCACTGCTGGTGCCCGCCCTTTTCCGCTGGCCATGCAGCATTTCTATTCATGTATCTCCCAGGTCTGTCACTGGTGGTGTCCACCCTTTTTCACTGGCAATGCGACATCTATACTCATTTGTCTCCCAGTGTCACTGCTGGTGTCCGCCCTCTTCACTGGCGATGCGACGCCTCTATTCATTTGTCTCCCAGTTCTGTCACCCCAGTTCTGTCACTGCTGGTGTCCGCCCTTTTCTGTCTCCCAGGTCTGTCACTGCCGCCCTTTTCCGCTGGCCATGCGGCATTTCTATTCATCTCCCAGGTCTGTCACTGCTGGTGTCCACCCTTTTGCGCAGGCAATGCAGCATTTCTGTTCATTTGTCTTTCAGGTCTGTGACTGGTGGTGTCCGCCTTGTCCGTTGGCCATGAAGCATTTCTATTCATTTGTCTCAGGTCTGTCACTGCTGGTGTCCGCCCTTTTCTGCTGGCCATGCAGCATTTCTATTCGTTTGTCTCCCAGTCCTGCACTGCTGGTGTCTGCACTGCTGGTGTCCGCCCTTTCTGTTGGCCATGTAGCATTTCTATTCATTTGTCTCCCAGGTCTGTCGCTGCTGGTGTCCAGCAATTCTATTCATCTCCCAGATCCGTCACTGGTGGTGTCCGCCCTTGGACGCTGGCCATGTAGCATTTCTATTCATTTGTCTCCCAGGCTTGTCATTGGTGGTGTCCACCCTTTTCCACTGTTTCTATTCTGTCACTGCCACCCTTTTCCGCTGGCCATGCAGCATTTCTATTCATCTCCCAGGTCTGTCACTGCTGGGGTCCGCCCTTGGTCCGTTGGCCATGCAACATGTCTATTCATGTGTCTCCCAGGCCTGTCACTGTCCAAGGTCTGTCACTGGGGTGTCCTTGTCTGTTGGCCATGAAGCATTTCTATTCATTTGTTTCCTAGGCTTTTATTCATTTGTCTTTCAGGTCTGTCACTGGTGGTGTCCGCCCTTGTCCGTTGGGCATGAAGCATTTCTATTCATTTGTCTCCCAGGTCTGTCACTGCTGGTGTCCGCCCTTTTCCTGCAACGCAGCATTTCTATTCATTTGTCTCCCAGGTTCACTGCTGGTGTCCGCCGTTTTCCGTCGGCCATGCAGCATTTCTATTCATTAGTCTCCAGGTCTGTCACTGCTGGTGTCCGCCCTTTTCCGCTGGCCATGTAGCGTTTCTATTCGTTTGTTTCCCGGGCCTGTCAATGGTGCTGCCGCCCTTTTCCGCTGGCCATGCAGCATTTCTTTTCATTTGTCTCCCATGTGATTTCTTTCTTTTTGTCTTTCAGGTTTGGTGCCTGCACTGCTGTTTTCTGCCCTGTCCACTGGAACAGGTTCACGTGTGAAAGGTTCTTGCTCCTTTGAAAGGGGTACGTGACTGTCTCCGGGATTGCATTCCTGCCACACTGTGTAACTCTCTCAGCTTTGTTTTCCTTTTCGGGCAAGCGTTGGATGAATGACCGGATTGGATTTCGGCGGCGTGGCAGCGATCTCTCTGTTCAGTTGGGACGGAGGACATACGTCAGGCACCAAAATTCAATTTCATGTCACATCCTTCGCTCCTCATGCTTTTATGTCTTGTCCTCACGTGGTCAGCTCCCCGCTGATTGAGCAGCATGACCAGCATCATGTTCGCACTTGAAGAATAATTCCCCAAAAGGTTTACTGTTAGGGCTTCTCAATTCTTTCTTAAGATGTGTCCGCTCGCTCTGTACTGCTGTGTCCGTCTCTGCCTTGCAATCCTTTGTTTCCCAGCTCTGGACGTCGAAAGCTCTAGTTTCGATTTTGAAAAACACAAACTGTTTGGGGTCTACGGTAGTGTAATTTATATAGTTTTCCTGGGTGACTTTTTGGTATTGAAGCTCTTCCCAGGTGGCCCTATTTTGGACAACCCCGATTTCAGGGACGGGACCCCCTATTTCCACAATGCACCCGAGGTTTTCTTAATAGGGGGAGGGGGGGGGGCCCGGGTTTTTTAATAGGTGGAAGGGATTAGTCTGTGACAGCATGAACATGTTCGTCCAACCATCTGTCTCCAAGCTTGCAAGATTCTGAACAGCAGTCCCCCGATAATCACTCACTTCTGAATAGCTCTCAGTTCAACCCCCCCCCGAACTGCATCCTTTCCATCCTTCACCATCCTTCAAAACTCTCCGTCCTTCCCCTCTGGTTCCCTGGTTTCGTTGCCTCCACCGCCTGAACCGTTCGCGCCACACGCGTCCAGCCTCTGTGAACCATTCGCCTCCACAGGTGAAACCGCTTGCGGACCGGTGGGGCTCGGGGCTCGGTCTGCGTGGGCAGCTGGGTCCGATGTCGCTCCCTTCGGAGCAGAGACACAGCGGACGTTGGGAGCAGGTTGGACATGTGACCTTCTCAAAAGGATCGCACCCTTGGCGTTGTAGCTTGAAGAAGAGTATGGTGCCCAAAGGAGAATGTACCCAAAGGCCCGGAATTCCAAGGGTTCTAGGCTTTGGAATTCCAAGGGTCCTTTGCACTGCGGAATGTGCCTATCATCATGGCCCACATACACTGAACCCAGAAATATGGTTTGCAACTGCTGTAAGTGTTGCTATGTGTGTTTCTTGGAACAAAAACCCGCACAGCCACACAGATTGAAGAGGGGCTTCCAATCGCAGGCCTCTGGAGAAGGGCACGTGGGCAACTGTGGCAGCGCACTTCAAGCGACATGTTACACACACCCATCCAGGCCCTTGGTTCAGGGTGATGTACATGACGTAGTTGGTTTCTGAGTTACAGTGTATATATATATATATGTGTATGTGTGTTAAGTTATGTGTATGCATATATATATATGTATATATATATAATGATTTCACATCCTAAAGAAAAAAAGATCAAAAACGACATCATGATAAATATGTAATAAGTGTATTCTTGTATTGTAAGGTTGCTTGCATGCTACAATGGGTCAAGAAACCAACGACATACGCGTTCTTCCTCCGTTCATCTTGCTGACCCTAGGAAGCGCTGGCTTGAGCAAGGACGTCTGAAGAACTGCGTCTTGCGAGCCTTCCACTCTTCGAGTGGATCCGTCCGTCACTCCGTCAATTGTTGACCAAACAACATGGATTGTGCATGATTGTGCACTACGCGTTTCAAGGCGAGAAGGTGCTCTTGTAAGCCGAAGCAGCTTGACTCAATCATTTGGGTGTCACAAGTGTCATTCGGTGGTTTCTTCAAGACAACCGGTTGCATCCGAGAAACCACCTTCGGGGCGCCTGTAAGCCGAATGCACCTCCTCTCATCTGACGCTTCTGGTTCCGTGAGACTTCCACTGTCAGCCTCACGACTGAACACGGAAACCCCAGTGGTCCTGGAAAATGAATGCAACGCCATAAGCCCCTTCGCAGAGGCACAGTGCTGTAGCGACCACCTGAGGCACGATCTGGGCTGAATCTGCCCGACCACCGCCACGCTTTCATGCCCTCAGTCACCCTGATGGCACGAAGCTCTCTGGAAAGGAACGAAAGGTGGAGTCTCGTATGGGACGGAAAGGGGGAATGGGGATGGCGAATCTGATCTTGTCTGGGCATTCCACAAACAAGGGAGCTTTTTGTGAAATCTCTACCTCAAGCTTTAAAAACAACTCCAAGTAAAGTCTCACAGTCTCTACCTCAAGTTGGTCATTTGTTCTGTTTCAGGCCAACTGTCTTCCTTGGCTCATCTCTCCAGTCTGTTGACTGGCTGGACCCACTGGGAGTTTGGTGGAAGGCGGTCCTGGTGCTGAAAGCCCCTTTAAAAAAGCGAAGAAGCCAAGGTATCTGCCACAAGTACATCCGATTCCGGGATGCCTGCAGTGGTAGTACAGCAAGACCCCCAAATCTTGGCTGTGTGACATGCTCTTCGGGTCTCAACTCCCTGTGGGACCCCGAGCTGTCTCGGGGACCCCCTGTCTGACCACCGTGTCGGCCTCGAGCCAACTGGCATTCCCCATCTGCCCTTTGAGGTCCTGGCGCCGGATGTTTGGACAACTGAGAAGAAAGGCAACAACAAATCGAGTTGAAGACCTTTGGGGAGAGCCAAAATCATGAGAGGTGTCATCACCCTGGGATTTGTTGTGGGACTAGCAGGCCTAACTGTTGGAACACTTTGATGGATTTATAGGCTGGCTCGCCTTCCCCCGCTCCCCGGTGAAAAAGCTTCCTAGGGCCAACTCTCTTGAGCCTGGGGCGGAGCTGCAAAACTAGGACGTGGCGAACCGGTAAGTCCGGGAGCCGGCCGACCAGGTCAACGTGTCTCTTGTCGGCCGGCCGGCCGGCTGTAGTAGTGGTAATTCATGGTAATTATCAGCTGGTAGTCACACGAAAGGTAGGGGCCGGCCGGCTGGCTGGCTGGCTGTGAAGCTACAGGCTCAGCTGTGGTTTTTGGCCCGCCGGCTGGCCCGACTGGCAGGCAGGAAAAGAAAATAGCGGGTTGCGTTAAGCTGGCAATGAAAAGTAGACCGAGTTGCCAGCTTGAAACTTTGGCTGTAGCATCTCTCTCATGACTCATACTTGTAATAAGGTTGTGGGTCCGGTAACACTGTAATCACTATAATAACGACTTTCCGCCACAATACTCATAATATATTTAATATGGTCTTCTGCGTGCAAAACTCATAATATATTAAATATGGTCTTCTGCGTGCACTCAATGAGACACTGCATGCGGCTGAAACTTGGATAAGTGAACAAGTGTCCACCCAAACTCAAGCCTGAAAAAGAGAGCATTGAGCAAACATGAGCAAACCAAATCACAGATCCCGGCCTGCGAAGTGTCCACCCATCATCCCCCATCCAAAACCAACCTGAAAGATCCAGCCTCGCCTCGACGAGGTGAGCCAGGAGTTCAGTATCTGTCTGGCTGATGAACTGGTAGCCCTTGCCCGACAGCCTAGCGTGGTGTTCCAGCACACACGATCCCCCATCCACATCCAGGGTCGGTTCTGATCAATCTAAACAGATCCAAACAATCCGGAAAGGCCAGGATGACGAGAGTCCAGCAGGGAGACGGGGAGAACATATAGAAGTATGATGAAGTGACATCTCTTTCGGGCTCCTTGCAGAAGGAAAGGCCTGGCGCATCAAGATTCGTTCCAACATGTTACTCACCTTTCTGCCCAAAAGGCTGGGTGTATGAACAGAAAAGGGGCCAAGCCGACTTACTGAGTGCAGCCATGGAGCCGGTGGAAGGAAGGGGTGTTCAGTGGTGCATTCCTCATTTCAATAGAGGAAATTCTGAAATTGAACCAGTTGGGTTTGTCGATCACAACAGGTTCTGTTGGAAAGCATGGGACCGTCACTGTGCAGTTCTCTGCATCTCCTTAGAGGTTCCCAGAGGACATGTTGCGCCTCACGGGTCAGTTCGCCATGTTTCTCCAGTAGGTGACTCCCCTGTTCAAAGCGGATCAAGCAAAGCAACATTAACATCATCTACGATCGAACGGAGCCAAGCTCCTTCGATCTCATCTTCATCGAACGGACATCGATCGAACTTCAGCTCGACAAGTGAGATCGTCTTTTCATTCAGCTCTGGTTAAAAACAGGTGAAAACTGAAAGCAAAAAAAACATATCAAACGAGTGACACGGTCCCAAACTGGCCGTGTCACGTCGAGGGTACGTCGTGGGTGAATTCCGGTACGGTCGGTCTTGCTACGTTCGTAGCGATGGCAAGGAGGTCTGGGTGGGGGTGAGGTGGATTGTTCTACAGGGCGGGGGGGGCCGACTCAAAGCGATGCACCTGGTTACGTTCGTAGCGATGCCCTGGTTGCTCGTGCAACAAAGGACCAAAAGCTGTCTTGGCGTTTACCCCGAGCCGGGAAAAGCCACCGGTGCTTTGAGAGCTGACTGTCAGGGGCTCTTCAGAGTGCAGAATCCAAACGCAGGTCACTTGCCTCCTGAGGATGAGTTACTAGTTTACATCACATCTAATTACAGTACCAGGATGGAATGTTGTTTGTGAGCCAACCATTCGGGGCAGCCTCCACTCTGGTTCTGCGAGAAACAAACGAAACGTCGAAAAAACTGGGAGGTCCCACTGCTCTTTGAGCGCTCGGTGGTTCTCAATGACTCCGTTGTGCACCACTGCAATGCCTCATCCGAGCAGCTCGCGCGGACCGGCGCAAACCCGCACACACCGCGCAGAGGGCTCAGTCGCTCAGTCTGTATGGTTGGAGATTGCGGTCCAAATCACCCATCAACAAAGGCGCTAGGAGCGATCGGACGCTACGAACGGCGCTCCTGGTCGCTACTAGGAGCAAGGACGCTATTAGGGGCTCCTGGCCTTACTACTAGGAGCAAGAAGCTACTAAACCTCCATGCATGTAGGTGGAGGCCATCGCTACTAGGTGGAGGCCATCGTTACATATCGCTACTGGGTCCTTAGGTGGAGGCCATCGCTATTAGGTTGGAGGCCATTGCCTGTGGATAGATTTCCGGTTGCTGGGAAAGACCTTGAATTCTAACCTTGACGTTAAAATGGATTTGAGGAGGCATCCGTGCGGCTGTGGTTGCTTCGTACCTCCGTTCGTCCAAGCTTCATGGGCCTCCTCGAACTCGGGTCCCCCCCCCCAAGGACCCACATGGATCCATTGGTCCAAGATGAGGGGTGGCTGCAGACTCGACCCACCTCCTCTTTTTTCCAAAAAGCCACCCTTAACTTGAGAATATTGAATCCCCTCCTTTGTTCAGCATCTTCAACCTGTGCCAGCGGTTTCTCCAAGGTCTCAAGTGGTAGCAGGAGAATCCCAGTAGTAGCTTCGTACTTCTAAAGCTGAAATTGGAGGGCTGCCCCAGTGGTATATGGATCGGTAGAAATCCAGTAGACCTGCGATTTTTTTTTCTCATCGAGGCCTTAAACTTTAAACCCGTTCCATCCATCCCCTTGGGCTCGACTGCGAAAGAAGCGGCTCGACTGCGTCGTTGCATGAGGGTGCGCGTTGATATCTGAGGGCTTTCCATGGGTGGCCCATCTCGTGTGCCTTGGAAAAATCAGTCCAGAGTTGGAGGACTCAAGGTGGAGGTGCAAAAGTCGAGGACTCCGTCATTGGACTGCTTGTGGACCTGTGGACTTATAAATTGGATTCCACAGTGAGTTGGGTAACATCTGACTTGGCATGGGGAGAGAGTTAGCCAAAACCAGCTATGTACACAAAGTTCCAGAACGCCATCCATCCGATTGGCTCAAGAAACTGATCAAAAGAAATCTGTGGTTAAATCTATTCAGTGATATTCACTGCTAAAACTGGGCAGACTGCACAAGAACTATGTGCATAGATCAAGAAATAGACATGTAGAAGTGGCTTCCAATACCTATTCCATCAGTCAGAGTCAGAGGATTCACTTTTCTACCTAGTGCAAAGTAACAGTGCGTCACTGCCGGGACTTGTCAAGCAGGCTGCTACTTGCATTGGAAAGAAGTTGGAACAAGCTATGCCCCCCGGTCTGGTCACACCCAAACGAAGACCGCTGCGACTTCAACAATGCAACGAATTCATCTCGGTGAGTCCTTTGGAACCTGCGTCTTGAAGCCTTCTTTGTCCCACTCAAAAGGATATTGTCAAGTTGTTTGCTGCGCCTGGGGCACCACGCGCAATGCCCATGGTGCCTTTCACCGTGTCAATCGCTTTGGACACATCGTCTTCCAGGTTTGCCACCTGAACACAGTCGCCCTGGCCTCACCATCCGGTGAAACCACTCAATTTGAGGTGACAGAGCCAAACCACATGGGATGATGAAGGGCAGGCAGGCTCTTCTTATCTCTGTGTGCTTCCGCTGGCATAGGGTCTTTATGCTGCGATGACAGCTTTGCTGCCCAGCAGAGAAGTCCTGGATAAAGGAATCCGTTGTGCACGAGACCCACAACTGCCCTTCGAAAATCGACCTATTTCAGGTCTTCAGAAAATCAGCCAGTTGTAAACAAAAAAAGAACGGGGTAGCGGGGAGGGTCCTCACCCGGGCTCTGGCTTTAAATTGCTTCGCACCAAAGCACCATTATTTGTCTTTGACATGGCACTGAGCTCCTTCCATTGAGCAAGTTGCAACCACAAAGCCTTCCATGCCAATTTTGGAGATGCAGTCAAGCATGCAAAGCAATGCATCTTCCATTCCTTTGGAGATGAGACCTGCATGAGCACGACCCAAAAGCACTACAATAGGATAGCCGGTCCATGAAATGATCGTCAGCCACTCGAGCCTTTTAAAGAGCTGCTGCACATCTGGAGGACGCTTCTTCACGGTACCGTTGGCCACATCCACCTGCAAAGCTGCGATCATGAGGCAGAAGAAGAGAACCGATGAGCCGAACCAAAGATACTTCAAGGCCACCTTCTTTTTCGGCACAATCATGGCACTCACAATGCCTCCCGTCAGCATCATCAGGTCGCAGCCTAGGTTTTGTGATACAGAAACAAAAGGCCCCTTCTGCCACACAAAAGGAAACTATCCACATCTATCCATCTTGTATTCCATTTGGGGAAAACAACAACCTTCCAAAATGCTCCAAGTAGCCAATGACCATGAAGAAGGTATGCTTCTCTGCTCCACCAATCATGCAGAGCTCGAAAAGCATCAATGGAGTAGTGGCAATCCAATCAATGTACCTGATAATTGGTACCTTTCTGCCTCCGATTACCGCGTCACCCATGCCTGTCACCTTGGCCAAATAGGCCAAAGCTGCAATCACCATCACGAAAAAGGTCACGACATAGGCCTCAGGATGAACATGTCGAATCCAGAGAACTAGCAACAAGAGCGAGGCAAGGGAGAATAGAATCTGAACGACCCATGCAGTCATGTGAGCAAATTTGTAGGTCCACCACTCATGTTGGCTGCTCCTCACCATCTCTTGACGCTTCTCAAGCTTCTGTTCAATGCTTTTGGTCGCCGCGACCATGAGGTTCATGGACTTGCTAGAGGAACGATGTTTTTCCAGTGCAATCTCTGCGACATCGGCGCTTTGCGATGTCTTCGAGACTTCCGTGACCATCGCCTCAATGTCTTCGACTTCAGGAGACCAAGTCTTCCCGTCCATCTCCAAAGAAGGCCGCTACAAGCGAACTACAAATGTCAGCCGCGAGCTCCAAAACTGCATGACATGAGACATCATGACACTCATGAGACATCATGCTTTCTTTCAGAGACGTGTGTCTAACCAGGGTCATCCCACGAAGTCTTGGTGCACCAGAAATCTTCCAAAAAGGCGACAGGTCTGTTTTCATCACCCGGACAATCAAGACAAATAACTTCCATAACCTGTAACCTTCAAATATCTCATGCATGATGAGAGACCGAATGAACATACAATTCTTCGAGCTGCAGTCATCACGATCGCACGTTGACCAAGTCCAGAAAATCACCCACTCTACGCCTCCTGTGCCAACTGCAAAGTCTCGAACCCACCCCGAGACTTCGCAGCCGATCGGCGGAAGTCACCGTCCGAGGCCCGCGCCTTGCCCACCTTCTTCCGCACTTTGATGGGTACACCATGGACACCGATCCCCGCCGAGTCGTAGCCACGGTACCTCGAACAAAAGGGCCGGTGGCACGGTGGGGAACGCACGGATCTGGTAAAAGCCACACCAAATGCCCAAAGCCACAGAAGCAACAGGTAGAACAAAAAAAATAAATAAATAAGTTTGCCCTCCCTCAGAGACCCTGCTGACCCGTTGGTATTTGTCTGTGTGACCCATTCTGCGTTTGTTGACGCGAGTCTTTCATGTGTGTGTGTGTTGTAGAAATTGAAGCGTGTACTCTCCTTGACAATGTAGGGATGTCTCGTACTATACATATATGTACATACATAAGCAGTGCTTGCTTATGTGCGACGCATGCTTCTTTCTGTGGGCTTGTTGTACAGCAGATTCTCAGGACAAGCAAACAGGCCACCGGCGCTATTTAGCCATGTGGGAGTTGATCTAAATTCCTTTATCCGGGATCCGTCATTTTCGCCAAAAAAACTTATTTTCGCCAAACGTTCGCCTTCCTGCGTTTTATCTTTCGCCGAAGTACGTTGTATTTAGGTGTGCCATGTATGTTGTGGTTTGTTCACGTCAATGGCTTCTTCTTTACTGGCAAGCACAAAATAGAAACTTCACTGTTTGTCAGCATGTGTCTTCTACTTAACTGTTGACACCCTGTACGTCTCTTTTGTTTCTCCTGGGTGTCAGCAAGAATCAAAATTGCAAGAATCACTGTAGTAGCCGGTCACTCAAACTTACTCATAATGGGCTGGGGGTCAGATGTGGCAGGGTGAACTTTCGCCAATCTTGAGCTGAACTTTCGCCAAACTTTCGCCTTTTGCGGGGTAGAGTTTTGTGGCAAAGCCACCCCCAAAGCAGGAGCAGGAATAGTAGTAGTAGTAGTAGCAGTAGTAGCAGTATAGTAGTAGTAGTAGTAGTGGTAGTGGTAGTGGTAGTGGTAGTGGTAGTAGTAGTAGTAGTAGTAGTAGTAGCCGCAGCAGCAGCAGCAGGTTATCTAACTTCCACAGCTCATCTAGCTTCTGAGTCACTGCCACCAGCTGTTCAGAAAGCAAATGAACATTCATACTTTAGCAGGGTTTAAAGCATATCTGACTTATGGCCTCTGTAATCCAAGCGGGTCAACGGACATATGAAGCGAACATATGAGTGAACGTGCGCGCGTGTCAGCGCGCGTGTCAGCGCGCGTGTCAGCGCGCGTGTGAACGCGCGTGCGTGCAGGCCAGTGAACGCACGAACGATCGTGGACGGGCGTGTCAGTGTACGTATGAATGCGCTGGCCCACACACCCACAAGCATGAACCAGCACTCTGAGAATTTGTTTTCCTTTCGGACAGGGCTGCTGTCGCAAGGCACGTGTATTCACACATGACACCAGCAGAATTCATCTTCTGTACTCGTGAGGCCTCTGAGCCACGCCCTCTGTGCAGGCATGAAAAAACTCTTAGGGCCGTGAAGGAAGGTCCTCTGTGAGAGACTGGACCATTTGTCTAATATCCTCTGCTTCAGACATCTCTGACTCGCTGCTGTATCGCAGGCTGCACATCACCGCCAGCACCACTGCAACAATCACGTTTCCCGCAAACCTTGGATGATTCCTGCAAACCTTTTAAAGACACAAACATTTGAAACTCATTCGTGGCATAGAAAAGTATAAATAGATCCACAACTATGACGCTGACATGCAGGAATCTTGTCTTACTTGCAGACCACACCATACATCCATTAATGTTTTGACAAAGTTGCGCGTTGCCAGCCAAATTCCCAAGCTGGGATTCCGTGAAGCTGGACAGAAAGTCATGATCATATGAATGTCCCTGGCATCTCAACAGCTCCCTTCCCAAGAGTGGCCTTTGCTTTGCAAAGGACCAGGCTATGCTCCTTGGAAGGATCACCGGCAATGAACGGGTTCCTGTTGAGTAACGGTTTGCGGAGTGGTACACATCCGCAACGGACACCTTCTTCTTCATTCTGTACTTGTCATCGGCAGCAAATCCCACCACCTGAAGAATCAGAATCATAATTCATAATCATAATTTCATAGATGAATCATAGACTGGACTCATTTCTAGACAATGACAATAGATTCATCGTAGAGTCATAGCCTAGCAAATGTGATGCGTATGTAACTGCTGTCGTTGTATGTCACTGTATGTATTTGTAGACTGTACGACTACATGAAAATGCATATTGCATACCGCTGCATACCCTTCTTCATTGAGTATTGAACCTCCCGAGCCCTCTTCGTCAAGAGCGGGAACCATTTGGATGCTTGCACTGCCTTTGGAATTTGGAGCGGCCATGGGATGCCTCCTGCAGCAAAGTAAGCCCAGGAATCCCAGACAAGTGTTTGGGTCCAACATGATGAACACAATTGGATCACAAAAAAAAACATACAATGATATGATATGAATCGGAATATGAATCATATCATATCATATGAATTCAGTTCAAAGAATCTTTTCTCTGCAACCGACATATGCAAAGATGTCCATCCACCGTCAGAGTCCGCTACATCGTCTCTGTCGGAGAGAAACTCAAAGTGTTCTGCTAAGGCTGGGTCATCATCTGGCAACAGAAAGTTCTCCTCAGCAACAGTTGACATACTAACTGACTCTTAAAAAAAAAACTGAAGTTGGTCTTCATTGTCGGAGGTTGGGAAGGTTGAAAGGAGGGCCCAAGAGCCTAGACTATCAAAATGAGTCGAGAAACAAAAGCTGGTGCTTCCAAGTACATCTGGCGAATCAGCGTTTTCACATCTTCAAAGAAGCTTGCCGCACTCACAGCGATGTCTTGGTTTCGCAAATCCAAGCAAACAAAGTAGACACGCCGGCGGCTCTGGGGCAACCCGAACCACTCTGCATCTAGCAAAATACACTCCACAGCGTATCCGCGCTTCTCAATCTCATCGATACAAAGCTTCAGGTTGGATTCCCTCAAGGTGACAACAAGAGTTACATTTTGCAAGAAAGGCCGCGCAAGCAACACATGACGCTGTGTGACTCCTCTCACTCTCTATCACGGTATGAGTCGGTCACATCCTAAATACAGACAGAGCACGAGGAGTCATCGGTTTCCCTCTCGATCGACTCAACATTTTCCAACACAACCCAATGTGGGCGATTGAGTTCCATCACATCCAAGCACCCGTTGAAGGTGCTTACGCTGGCCACTGTTTCCTCGGGCAAAACGACGGCCACTTAGTTCATGAACCTCATTTGTTGCCTCGCCTTTTTTGCGCCTATAGCCTATTGCCTATAGCCTTTGGCATCTATTAAAAAATATATTAATTGTCAAGTGACGGCTATTGGTTTGTCTTCTATAAGTGCGGAAAAGAAACTGATTCCTCATTCTGATTCTGCTGTTCTTTTGCACGCTGCATTGCGCTAGCATTCTTTTTGGAGTGCATGTTTAGTCGGCTGTAGCTTGTGCACGAGAAACCCGCAGAAAAGGCATGGACCCGTTCAAGGTGACATGCTCGACCGTGTGTCACACAGTGCCTCTTCTCGTCAGATGACAGGGCTGTAATGTCCTGCCATGTTAATTTTAAAAACCAGACACTGAGGAAGTACAGCCACAGGTTCTGTCCTCAAACATGCAGCTGCTGGCATTCAAAGCATGCTTGCAGAAAGCCTGCTTCCACTCCACGTTCTCACAGGCATACGCCGCTTCGACCTAAGGTAAAGCTGAATATGTTTTTGCTATCTTTTGCTAAGTCAAGATTCTAGAATCGATTCATTCATATAAGTAGTGGTATATATTAATAAAACTATTATATAACAATATACAAAACATTTTATAACACAACATCAATTCAATCGTCGTTCTCATTTTCACTTTGTCCGCTGTACCAAGTCAGGCTGCTGTCATGTCGAGATTGAAGGCCGGCTTGAGACCTTGCACTGCACAGCGCATCGCATCCTCAAACCTGACCAAATAGAAAATGAAAATGTTTCCACATTCAATATTCAGAATCATCATCAGGTCTCTATGACTAAGACTATGACTCTGACTCTATGACTCTAGTCTATGAGTCTATGACTCTATGACTCTGGAATGGTTCATTGATGAGTTGATGAATAAAAACTCAAAACACAAAAAGTAGAAGACAAGTGGCGAAGCAGTGCCAGAACACCCTGAACCGGTGAGTAGCTCTGTGGGGTGGCTCTTCAGGTTCTCATAGATATTCAAATGACCATCAGTGTTCTTGGAATGGAACAGCAAGAGACGGGATACCATAACCTCCAAACAAACGACAACAGCAACAAATTTGAGTGTTTGCGCAGTGCATCTGAATCTTAAGTCTTAGGACAACAGCAACCTCTGTTAAGCTTAGTCGTTTGTTTTGTTTTCGTTCTTTTTGTTAGCCTTGGTTTTGGTTTTGGACACCGACACTGATACCGCCCGACACCTCAGCAGCTGATCCCATCACGTCTTCTGGATCTGGATAAGCGTCGACGGCCCTCCGGACCAATTCTTCAGCCTCTGCTACTGGAATGCGAGCATCATAAACATCACCAGGTTCGGAAATCTCATCAACCTGGCCATCATCAGCACCAACGCCCATACCTCACCAAGCAGTGAACGAGCAGAAAGAAGCAAAAGGGCAAGTCAAAAGGGCAAGTCAATGTGTTTGGAACAGCATCATGTTGCATGCCAGGCTGCTGGCACATGCCGCTTCTTTCTGATCAAGCCTCTTTGTCACTGTCTCAGTATTGATCTTGGAATGTGGGGATTTCTGGAACCAGCGAAGAAAGTGCACCAGGTCCTCTACCGGGTCGCCTTCTGGATCTCCGTAGCTGTAATCATCATCCACAAACTCTTCTTTTTTCAGAAAGTGAAAATACTCAGCAAAATGCTCAAATTTTTTCACTCTGGATATCTCATCTTCCAAGCAGTAGGGGCAATTCTCATCATTCATCAACGAGTTTGCAATGAACTCCGGGTCGCAATTGGACCCCCATTCCATAGCCGCCTGTTTTGATTCTTCTACTTCTACTTGTTCCTGTTTGCCCTCACCTGCTGTCTCCTCTGGCGCCATCTTTCCAAAATACTTGTTGAAGTGTTCTTCACCAGCTACTCCTGCCTTCATGTAGGCCTTGACTGTGTCCCGGAGGTAAATCACGAAGCTCTCAAGGTTGGAAACCTGATGAGCACTGCTTGATGCAAAACGTGGCTGGTGAGGTTTCTCCAGTAACTGGGAAGACCAAAACTCCCTGAACAACGGATGCCCTTGGGCTGCACTGAGCGCACTGATAAAATCCTCCTCAGAAAGCAAATCAAGTTCTGCAGTACTCAGCCCATAGTGCCAGCCGGCTAGAATGGCCGGCCATGCCTCAGCCAGATCAATTGGCGGTTGGCCCTTCTGTATCAGGAAGGTGTTGAACTTCTTGAAATCATTGTGTGGCCAGCTTCCGAATGTCCATCCTGACTGGATGTATCTTGGCTCTTCAATGTTGGTGTAGACATCCTCAATGAACTCGTTGAACATGGGATGGCTGCGTACACGTAGAAGAAGATCCGGAAAAACATAGTCGTCAGTTGAGTCATAGTCAAACATGGCGGCCTCATATTGCCGAAGGAGTTTGCTGATATCAAGCAGCGGTGCCTCTGCGTTTTTGAGGTAGCTGTTGAAGTGTCTGATGTTTCTCACAGTATCCACTTGCTTTCCATCTCCGGGGTGTGTCCAATCGAAGTGAATGAACGGTTTGTGTTTCTGACAAAATTTCAAGTATGCTGGAAACAGGTGGTGTTGTTTCACAGCTGCCACACATTTTGCCTCATCCTCCAAGAACACTTCAACAAACTCAACATCTGTTTTTGCTGATGCTGCTGATATTGATGTTGCTTTGTGCTTGTTTGCTGTTTCCAGCGGAGCTGTGCTGCGGGTGTTGCCCATCTTGTCCAGTGTTGCTGCTGGATGTGTTGCTGCCTGCTGCTTTGCTGGGTCATCTGGTGATGTGTATCCGTGTTTGG